ATGGTGATGGTAATGATGGTGATGGTAATGATGATGATGATGACGATGATTGTGGTGGTGGTGGTGGTGGTGGTGGTGATGATGATGATGATGATGATGCTGATGATGCTGCTGATGATGATGATGATGATGATGATGATGATGATGATGATGATGATGATGGTAATGATGATGATGGTAATGATGATAATCATGATGATGATGATGATGAGGAGGAGGAGCAAAGATGAGGAGGTTTTGCTGACATTCGGCAGGTTGGAATTGTTCCTGATGTCAAACAGAAAGTAGGAGATGTTAAGAAAGCCATCAAGAATGGTAAACAACATCACCTTCCCTGCTGGTGGTGGTGGTCCTTCTCATCCTCCTACTTCTCCTACTTCTCCTGCTCCTCGTCTGTTCCTTGTCCTACTCCCTTCCTGACTATTTCCGCAGGCAAGCTCAACCTGGATGCGGCTGCGGAAAGTCTCAAAATATGCAAAGCGTCATGAGGGGGAGAAACAGAAGAAATCAGGACAAAAGATGTCAAGATGTCGAGCAGATTAGATGTAAAGATGTCAAGAAGATGAGAATGAGATGGTAAGAAGATAAGAAGACAATGAGGAGAAGAGAAGAAACACGATCTTCACATTAAAACATTTGAACTTGCGCTAATTCTAATCGATTCTACTTGATCGATGGGCATGAAAACATGTATGGCATTTTGCTACTTGTGCATTAAAACAGATTCCTGCAGAACAGTAAGAGGAGGGAGGAAAAAAAGGAGAGGCGAGGCGAGGAGAGAGGAGAGGAGAGGAGAGGCGAGGAGAGGAGAGAGGAGAGGAGAGGAGAGGAGAGGAGAGGAGAGGAGAGGAGAGGAGAGGAGAGGAGAGGAGAGGAGAGGAGAGGAGAGGAGAGGAGAGGAGAGGAGAGGAGAGGAGAGGAGAGGAGAGGAGAGGAGAGGAGAGGAGAGGAGAGGAGAGGAGAGGAGAGGAGAGGAGAGGAGGGGAGGGGATATCAGCTGCTCCCACCAGGCTTAGCTGCTGCTGGTGAGGGTCGGGCCATCCGAAGGAGACATCACTGATGGAGCAAGAGATCCGATCGGAGGAGCGAAGCCTTGCGTCCTCTCTCCTCAAGACGACCTCGAAGGTCAAGCAAGCCCCCAGTACGTCATCCCTGCTCAAGTCCCGCTTCGTCAGGCTGGGGAAGAAGACGGCGGAAGAGGCGGCAGGGAAAGAAGGCGGAGGAGGAGAAGGAGAAGAGAAGAGGAGGAGGAGGAGAAGAGGAGAGGAGGAGGAGAGGAGGAGGAGAGGAGGAGGAGAGGAGGAGGTGGACTCC